ACAAATAACATTTCCGTGAATTTTGAGCCTTCGTAAAGATCATTGCACTGAGTCCCCATTTGGCCAGCCACATACCCTCCTCTTGTTGTTAATCTCCTTATTCTTCTGTTTGCCAAAGACCATGTAAAACATGTAGTCCCTTTGGTAAACCTTAGGTAAAAGGTAAATCTATACCTTTAATCTTGAGGTGAGGATGAAAGTCCTAGTTTAGATAAGTTATGAGAACCCTGTCCACCTTATATTATACTCGCCTGCCATTGCAGGCAGCCTCTTGCCAGGTTGTAGATCTCAAATTCCAGCTCTGTAATCACTGCAGAAGCATTGTGAGCTCTGAGGGTAGCCTGAGGTCGTCTGAACATGTAACAGACGTGAGTCCAGGACGTCTGTTAACTTGTATGTCAGAGTCTAGCAGCTCTAGGTTGCATGCTGGGGAAGCAAAAATATAGAGTTGTAGAAGTTTTATATTAAGGGTCTGAAATACTTGTGTAAGATAAATTTGCTTAGAATTAATACCCAAATCCCATTCTTCATTCCTCTTTTGAAACAGAAAATCTTGGCAATGGAGGAAGCTTTGAATTGGATAAAATATGCAGGCGATGTAACAATTCTAACTAAATTAGCATCAGTTGACAGTTGTTGGCCTATGTTAAGTATTTTCTTTACTGAATGTAAGTATAAGTGCTTTAAATTGTTACTTGACTCAGTTTTTAAAGGTATTGTTTGGGAAAATGGAATGTGCAGTTATGTGATTTCCGATTTATCTTAGGATTTTAAAAAATATTTTTCTCTTGTTATATATTCCTGAATAAGAGAACTTTAACCTTGTGGTTAGTTTTATTCTGTATTTCCTGTCTTAATTATTGTTATGACATTATACTTTTTAAAATTTTACCTAATGGATGCCATGAGTATATATATATTATTCAAAGAAAGAGACCACAACTGGGTTCATGTATTCTTTCATAAGAAAAAGTAACAGAAGCTAAAATTGTGATTTTCATTTTCCTGATGAGTCTGCTATTTTTTTATGTATGGGGAAAGTACCTTACATATGTCTTTTACTTTGTGAAATGTTTTTCTTTAAAGCATATGAATCTCAGTAGTGTTTTTGTAGTATAGTTTTAGGAATCTTGAAATGGGAAAGGTTTGGCTCTTTAGTAGATCCTGACCAATAATTTTCCATCTCCATTGAGAAGAGGGCAAATTTAGCACTATTTTTTAAAAACTTATTTTTTTAAATTTTTCTTTCTTTAGAGACAGGGTCTTGCTCTCTTGCCTAGGCTGGAGGGCAGTGGCACAGTCATAGCTCACTGCAGCCTCGAACTCAAGTGATCCTCCCGCCTCGCGACTACAGGTGCATCACCACGCCCAGCTAATTTTTTTCATTTTTTTCAGAGATGAGGTCTTGCCATGTTGCCCAGGCTGATCTCAAAGTCCTGGTCTTAAGTGATCCTCCCACCTTGGCCTCCTGAGTGGCTGGGGTTACAGGTGTGCGCCACTGCATCTGGAAAATTTTGCATTTTTAACTTAAGTACTAGAGGAGAATTAAACTTAAATGAAGACAGATCTTTCTCGTAGGTTTATTAGACTCTGGGATGTGTTACACTGATCGATGACGTTTTCTTCGTTGTTTTGGAGGCCTCTAATTGTAGGCGATTTTATGGTAGAAGTGGAGAAGCACCTGTAGGCACACCTATTTAGGCTCATTTCTGATTCTCTTTCTTCTGTATAATAGCCTTGCAAGGTGGCTGTTATTATCCCTAATTTAGAAATGAGCACACTAAGCTTTTGAGAGGTTAAGTGGTATTTCTGAAGTCTAGTAAGTAGCAGAACCTA